TAGGAATAAAGAATTGAGCATCTATAATCTCGTTTGTCATATAAACGCACATAATATATTATTTCCTAGTAGATCTAATGCTGTTATCGAATAATGGCACACAAAAATTGTGAAGATTTATCGAAGTTACTAAAGGGTTTAGCCAATCATAAGAAATGCGCTGGGATCAAATTACAGCACAAAGAAACTTTTTAGCTGAAAGAAAGTCAATTGTATCTACCTAACCTATAACGGGATAAAAGAAAGCCAACAGAAAAGACTATGATTAGGTGCATTTTCGGTTATACTCCGAATGATAATCTGAATCATTTCTAACTAACCAAAGCTTTATAAATCTTAATACTCAACCAAAATCTGAATGGTGTAGAGTGAAAAATCGATTGCTTATGTTAGAAATCAATATTGTTAAAATTTCTTTGTATACGTTTAGAGATATTTTCCTTTGATTTTTGGGAAGTTCAAAATAACATAATTGTATATATGCTACTATATTGTTATTTCAAATTGAGAGTTACATGATTGGAAATCAAATTGGAATAGAAAAGGGTGAATAAAATTATTATAATGCAAATCCTGAAATTCTTTGACAAAATATTGCTCTAAATCGTACACTTGAAAAGCTCAAACAAACTAAAATTAAAATATATATTTCTTATTTTAATCATCTTCACATATGCACTTCTGTAAACAATGAACCAATTATATTACAACACTAGAATATTATCGAAACCTTTGACTTGTCACAGCATTGTCTTGCACATCAATGAGGGAGTATGAGTGCTTTGAATGATGCAATAAAGAAAAGATAAACAACCTCATAGATACTTCTATAAGCATTACGAAATAAAAACAACTTCATATATTGATAGAATATTGCAAAATTCTACAATTCTACAACGTATGAGTATTATCAGTGCGTTGGCATTGAATTAAAAAAAAAAACTAGGCCAAATTTTTATCTTTGCTTGTGTATTGACAAATTTGGGAACACAAGAAATTTTGTTTTCTGCATAAAAACTGATGCATTTGGTAGCATTACAATCAGTTACATGCTTGAAGCGAGACGAGCAGTTTTATTTTGGTAGTCACAAACAAAGTGGATTCAGAATGAAGTCTTTATTTGTTATCCTTTCTTTTGCTGGAATACTCATTTCCCACACTGTGGCTGGAAATGACTACACATTTGGTACGGTGGACTCTACTGTCGAGCTTATACAAACAACAACCGTTTTCAAGCCATTCTTTCCTGGATTTGTAGTTACTAAAGATTTTGTTTATACACAAGGAGTAAGTCGCTAAATTTTAACTAATCCTTCGATATAATAAATTTTATTCGTTATAGGCAAACACTCGAACCATACGAGGCATACGAATTACGGACTTAAAAATGAAAAACGGTGCAACTGCAGAATTAATAACTGCAATTCCTGCTGCAGGCACGACTACGGATGTTACGATCCGATTTACATCACAACGCAGTTTTGGCATTAAAAGTATTGTGGCTGTATATGCCGATCCTTAGTTATTTAAATAATAATTTATAAGAATTGTTTTTAACAATTTCTAATTGTTTTTTTAGTTGGTAAATATTGAATAAATTTATTTTTAACAGTAATAATCCTCAAAATTTTATTTCTGTATAGAATCTAAGTAGAATTTATTATAATTTATAATATTTTCCAAAAAAAAAAAGTACAAAGGCTATATATTTGAAAGAGTTAACAAAAAATATAAATTCATAAAAATAATTGAAAATTCTTAAGTCGGTATGATAAAAAGTTATGTTAAAATGGTATTTGAATTAGAGTGACTTATCCAAATAAAGCTTAGCCGTGGTCGTAGTGCTCCTTTCCGATGAAAACCAATTCTCCATTTATTCTAATTATTATACATAAAAAACCTTTCATAAAATATAAAAACATTAAATTATATATAAAGTCAACAAATCGCAATATGACTTGAAATAAAAACATATCGTTAGTTCGACTACCATAAAACATTTTAAAACATAAAAAGTTAACAAAGTCTTGTATAATTATTTGAACTAGGCACGTACTCAGCGCAGGAGCTTGAGAGGCTGAAGTTCTTCTCAAATTGAACCAAATTGAGCCGTACCTATATACACAATATCGATATACACAATAGCTGGTTTTGAATCAGTATTAGCTAACTGAACGCTGACTCTGAGCTTCAAAATTGGCTGGGCACAAGTACAATACCTGGTACTTGCAGACTCCAAAAAAACAAAAAATATTTACGAATAATTAATTATAAAAAATATTTCCAAAACCACTGATGATGGTTATTTGGCAATATTCAAAACAGCTATATGAGCAGCCATAAATTCCACTAATTAAAATAATCTTAAAAAGAATTTTTGTTGTTGTAGTTCACTACTTTTAATGATAAAATAATATTGTCTGCAGTAAAGAAAAATCTAGAACACAATGTAAAATTATTATGGCAATAAAGTATCTCTTTACGATTTTAGTTCTACTGTCAATCACAACAGCTAATGTTGTTAGATAGTTTTCTAACACGACAAATATTAGAAGTCTATCCAGATATGGATTTATTCATGGTGTTCTAAGTTCGGTCACGAAAATTTCAATTTACTGATATATTTTAAAACATCTAGATTAAGTGATCGAAGAAGTGATTATATGATAGAAAAAAATTTAGATCATTAATTTTAAAATTTTTCAATTTTTAAGCTGTAAGTCCATCGAAACAAATTACTTGAACAATTTTTTTACTGAAATGCATTCTATCATACGTTGAAGTTTTTTTCTATGCAAAGAGTAAATCCAGCGAGTATGGACAATGGGCTATCACTGATATTTATAACAAAAATCAAATGATTTTTTCAAAAGCAACGTCAATGTATGTCAGTGAAGTCAGTGTATGTACTGTGCAAACAGTCTTTAACAAAAAATACAAATACAAATATTTATTATTTTTTATTTAATAATAACAATTAAACATAATTTTAGGCTTTCGTTAAAATAATATTTATTTTATTTATTAATTTCTACGTATTTCTGTAAAACCCTTTCAGTACAAAACTATTAAAGCAGCTGCTATCAGAGCACATAAATGATAAGAACTTTCTTGTTGTATTTACTAATCAAAGCAAGTGATTCACAAAAGTACTTCTAAATCTATAAAGTTATTTCAATTCCAATTGAAATAAATATATTTATTGTTTATTTATAACGAAGAAGTAAACATTACAAATTTGCTATAAAAGCCGCAACCATTCCCAGTTGAAGTTATTATCATAAAGTTTTTCCAATTGAGAGGTAATAAGGAACAGAACAACATGAAATTCTGTGGAGTTGCAACTTTTATTTCATTATCCGTTTTGGCCACTTTATGCTGCACTGGTAATGCCACGAACAGCACATGGGGATACATCGGACCATATGATATTGTATTACAACGTCAAAATGTTATAAAGAAGTCCAGTTGGATGAGTGTAGTTAGTGCAGATGTTATTTATCCACCAAAGGTAAATACATAATTTTAAAATTAATTTGAAATATTTTTAATCATATTTTCTCTTTTTTTTTTTGTTTTAGAATCACGTTAGCCAATATATCATAAGTGGTATTCGAGCAATCGATCATGATCGTGTAAATGGTGGATATGGTGCTTTGGTCAAGGGTGGACCTGGCTTTCGCAATGCAACCATTAATCTAAAATCTCAACGTAGTGGTGGTTTGAATTTTACTGTTGAGTTCTTCGGAAGGCGTTAACTTGCACTAATAAATTATATATTTGAAACTCGAAATAAATTATTTTTATTTTAAATAAATAATTTTGCTTTGTAAACATTTTAAAAGTAAATAAATTTTTTCTAAAATAAATTTTTAATAATTCTTTACTATATCTGAATTTTCTGCTAATTATATTAATTTTATAATTCATTAAGAAGCATAATTAATTGGTTAACTTAAGTCTTTTCTTCAGTAACAGCGATACGCATTAACTGCACCTTTTCATTACTCCGTTAACTCCACTAGTAGCATATGGCATTCACATTTTCTTCGAAGAGCAAGTTACTGGAACCTTTATGACTGCTGCCGTTTTATATACAGCATAAGATAGATAAGAATAAACGGGGTACTAGCTCCCACTTGAGCAGAGCACTGCGACCATGATTGATCTTTTGTGCTACAACAAACCCTAATCGAACAGAAGACATTCTGCCTTCCGAATGAAGGCTTAAATGTCAGCCGTTGAGGACCTCCTAATGTCGGAAAGTGAGAGTAGTTCCCGACCCAATGACCTCCTCCTGGCCCAGATCAAGGCTGGGCAGTCATATAGAATGTAGCTGGATGTCTCCTCTGCTTCTAAGCGGAGTCTACACTCTATCTCTTCGGACAGACCCATTCTGTTGAGATGGTAACGTAGTCCGTGGTGACACGTTAGATATCCCACCAACAATCTCAACTCTGAACCAGCTTTTTAGCCTGACGGTTACCTCGACTTCTCTTGGTTGAAATCCAATTATTAATTAGAGACCTAGTTCATATATAACATAGTATGTAGCAATTAATTTGATGTGGAGCACTTCTCTTTACATTTTTAATACTGCTTCTGAATAGCGACTACCTTGAATAAACCACTTGAGATAATCTTTCGATGTATAAACTTAGCTTTCACAGTGTGTGCCCTACATGTTCACGCTACATTTCCATTTCTTTACTTTAATTTTAAGCTCTTTTACATAAACCCTCACCACAAGTATATATAAGGAGTTGAAAAAACAAATTTCCCATTTGGTATGGACTTACATATATATATATATATATCTCATTATGTATTATATTGGCACCATATCGGTTTAATCTGTGATGTTATTTAAAGTAACCGATATATACTATAGTTGCCTTTATGTATAATCTGATAGTTTAGATTAAAACTCTTAGTTTTTCTTATACAGATCTCATAGGTATATAAATTCAATCATCAAAAATCACGTAAATTATTTTATTAAAAATATAACACATTTAGTGATTTTGTAATTAAACTCTATATTCTTTAGTAAACATTACTACTAAAATTGGATCAATCGATAACATAAGAATGATTCGAATCTAATAAAGAATCGTAAAATAATTATTTTTAACTTCATGTAAAGTGTACCTAAACTGCATTAGAGACAATTCGAAATTTGTTTATATAAAAGTAATAAACTCAATATGACTTATAGCTCAATTGATAAGTAAATTATATTAAATAATAATAACATCAATAAAACTGTAACTTATTTGTTAACAATTTGTAGTTTACCCTTACCGACGGACAAAAATTTCTGTAGTGCTCTACGAAATATGAACTTTGTTTGATAAATTATATAGAACCCAGTGGCGCTCCGTCGCGTGGCAGACGGACCACATTCTATAATATAAAATTTATGTAAAATAGTAAAAATATTATATTATAACCAGTAAATGAGTATCATATTGTAAAAAAATATTAAAAATAGCAACTTTGGTTCGGTTTCGAATGAATAATACAGAATTCCACTTAATTAATGTGAAATTATTTTCAAGAAATTTAAACCACATAATTATAGGCTGCTATATATGTAGTATAGACAGGGTGTTTTAAAATCTTTCCGTTACCGAATAATAACTTACAAGTATGTAGTTACGTCTGCTGCATAATATATCTTCTCTCAACAGCTGCCAAGTTTTATCAAACCACTTAATTATAATAAATACATGCGAAAATGATAAGATAAATTATACAATATTAGATACTTGAAAACATGCTTATGTGAGTCACCTGAACCATGTATAAGTAATTTTTTTTATTATTTGTTAATATCCAAGTTCACTTGAAGTAAACAAAGGGTGTACTCTACATGGCAGACTTGATAAAAATTTCATATTTCACAATTCGTACGATTGTTGTAATAAAAAGATTGTGACTATAATTATAAAATTTAATTTAAAAAGTTCACTTGTATCGTTCGGATCTCAGTCGAAATAAAAATGAAATTTCTCGCTGTTGCACTTTTCATTTCGTTTGCACTTGCAACAACTTCTTTCAATAGCGGTTATGCTAGGAACACTACTTGGGGATATATAGGACCATATGACTTGCTATTACATCGGGATTTTGTTGTGAGGAGTTCAAGTTGGTTAAGAGTAATTTCCGAGGATGTAACTTATCCACCAAAAGTTAGTAATCATACAAAGTTTCTTAATGAAATAAAGTCGTAACAATTAAAATTAATATATTTAGGGTTTTGTGAATCAATACATAATCAGCGGAGTTAGAGCAATTGATAATGCCCGTAAACATGGTGGTTACGCTACTTTAATACGCGGTGGTCCAGGCTTTCGTAACGCAACAATTCATCTGAAATCTGAACGCAGCGAAGGGTTAAATTACACTGTTGAGTTCTTTGGAAGACGGTAAATGATTCAAATAAGTAGTCAAAATTGAAGAAGTACTTAAGTGATACATGTTTTCTGTACAAAATTGTAATTAAACAAAATATATCAATAAACATAATGTAAATTTACAAATAAGTGACATATTGAATTTTTCGAATATACGAGCATATAATTTCTCGTACTACATATAAGATTTAGAATTCAAGATAAAAGATGGAAGGTGATAGCAAACATAATTTTTATTATAGATTAATTTTATTTTTTTTGTTTTTATTTTATTTCGTTAAGGTAATGCTCACTCAGAGGTAATATGGTTATTGATTAGATAGTAAGTATAAGTACCGTTTACTTGTTTATCCACTTTAGACTATTACGTTTATGTAGAAAATGGTATACAATAATCTATACTTTCTTAATACCTTAAGGCCCTTCAATACTGTAATGTTAAAATGGTTTGCAGTTCATGAAGTGCATGAAAGCAATGAAATGGTTGATCACTTAGCCAAAAAAGAGGTGATTATAGTCCTAAATGACCTACAAAGAATTTCTTAAATGAAGTTAGCAGAAAATAATAGAAAAAAAATTGTACACCTCTTCACTAACAATATAGGCCAATGTCCGACAAAATGATTTCTTATCTTAGCGACGGGAATATATGTATCAAGCAATATGCTTTCACTAAGCATTGTATTCTTGAGGATTTTATTAGATTACTTTGCAGGTCACTTTAAACTTTGAATAACTTAAATAAGCTGAGAGTTCTTTGAGACCGAATTTTTTTTTAAATAATTTCAAAAGAGCAGAGCACATTCTATTTGAATGCTCAGTTCTTCACAAACAAATGCTTCACCACTTAGGTGACATTGTTATACCTCCATATAAATTATAAAAACTTATAAAAATCCCTACATATGCAAGGCTAAAGATCAAGATTATGTACAATTGATCTGTTCAGGTCGCAGAGCGTTCTAGTCTTTAATAATAATAATATAATATAGAATATTATTCAACATATGTGCGATTAATAATTCCTTGATCTAAGAAACAAATAAATAGGAAAGAGAGAAAGGTGGGAGTTATTTTTAAAATATCCTAAGGTACAAAGTTTTTATAAGAGCACTTCCCGAATAAGCATGTACTAAAAAAAATCTCAATATCTCCAAAACTATTTAACATATTCAAATAGTTCAAATTGTAGATCTATTTTTTATTATAATAATATAATAATTATAGTTAATAGTTTAAATAGTTATATTGTAATGTTTTTAAATTTAAAAATTTGATGTTTAATTATCTGTCTATGTGAATTGTATTTTAGAACTTTATTATTGGAAATTCATTTTATTTTATTTCAGTATACTCAAATGATAATTTACGAGATAGTCTGAAATATTTGTAATTAATAAAATTTAATATAATTGAATTACGAAGTGTTTTTCATACATAATATTTACCG